CATTAGTTCATCGTGCATTGATGACAATATAAGAATACCTTTTGCCCTAAAGAAAAAAGCGAAATTCCCCAAGTCCACTGAACCATAAACCTGAACATCTGGTAATATTTATGCGGAAATGAAATATCAACTCTCCGCATTCATTGCCCATAGTTTTACCTTTTATAATATTATTATCAACATCATCATGAACAGAATTATAATACTTGTATACTTTTAAATCTATATTTATTTAATTACTCTATGTTCGTCTATAATTTGTAACGAAAAAATCAATTACAAATTTACAAAAGATATAAAAATATATAAAAAAATATGTTAAGTTTACAAAAAAAAAAGTGTAACAATTAACAATGATATTTGTGTTAAAACAAGACTCGTAAAGATAATGATATGCTGATAATATGGATTTGCGGAACAAGAAAACACATGTAGAAACAGATGGACGTAAAATGTTAATTAATGTCGATATCTGACATTTCCAAAAAGTAACAATTAATTTACCGATATATTCATATAATATTTTTATTTCTATATTCCTTTTTTTTATTTGCAATACAATCTCCGACTTCTTCCCATGGATATTTTATTGATTGGATCATATTGCGTTTATAACATAATCGAATTATTAACGACCTCCCAGGAATGCCATTAATTATACTCTAAACATACTATGTTTCTTCATATTAGAATTATATTAAGATGTTGAGATATTAAAATTTGTTGTTAATTGTTACAATTTGCAATGCATAATTTATAATTTTATAGAATATTAATTTCAATTAATGATTTAATCTACAAAAATTAATAATTCCAATAGAAAGTTTTATATAATAATTGATTATAAACAAACATACTACAATTTCTATACAATTTCTGATAGAATCTGATGTACCTCAAAGAACTGTAGTCGTATCAATCCTAAAGAACTCTCATAGAATTCTTATTAAAATTTTATGGAAATCCTTTATAAATATCATAGTATTCACTTAGTAATCCCTTAGACATCTCCTAAAGAAATTTCTAACAAAAGAAATAAGAACTGTCCACAAAAAATTTTCTTAAAAATAACTGTTGAACCTTCATTTTTTTTTATATAAATCTCATAATCCCTTAAAAACAGACTCTAGTAAATTTTATACCAATTTTATGGAAATCCATTACAATTTTAATAGAAAACTCACTAATTTTACCACATTCTAAAGAATTCTTATTGAAATTTCATCGAAATCCTTTATAAATCTCATAGTATTCATAGCAACCCCTCAGAAATCCCTTAGAAATTTCGTAAAGAAATTTTTAGTTTTGCTACTAATGTTATTCAAAACAAATAAGAACTGTCCACAAATTATATCGCTTAACTTACAATAAAATTTTTCTTAAAAATAACTATTGAACCTTCATTTTTTATATAAATCATCTCATATAAAACAAACTCTAGTAAATTTTATACCAATTTCATGGAAATCCATTACAATTTTTATAGAAATCTCTTAGTAATCTTTTAGAAATCTCACTTATCCCACTAATTTTACCACATTCTATAGAAATAATAACTGTTAAAAGTCACAATAAGATATTTCTTCAAAATAACTGACTTAATTAATATCATAATTCCTTAGAAAACTAGCAAATTTTATAGATTTTTTTTGGAATTTCATTACAATTTTAATACAAATCTCAAAGTAATCTCTTATAAATCTCATAGATATTAAAGAATTTCTAGTTTTTCCACTAATGTTGCCACATTCTAAAGAAATAATAAATATTAAAAGTAACAGTAAGATACTTATTGAAAATAACTGACTTAAATTTAAGTATAATTAATTCGTGTCAGTATATTACCCAGTGGCGGAAATCCTTAGAAATCCTTAGAAAATTCTAATAATCTCCTAGAAATTACATACAAATTAGTTTAGAAGATTTTTATGCGATTTCTAAACTAATTTGTTGATGTTACCACTGATGTTACCAAATGCAAAATAATTTCGTTTAACTTGCAATAATGTTACCCAGTGACGGAACTTCAATTTTTAGGTGGAATCTCATAGAAATCCCTTATAAATTTCGTGAAAATCCTTAGAAATCTCTTAAACAAATTTCTAGTTCTACCACAGATATTACCACATGCTAAAGAAATAATAACTGTTAAGTAATTTATTTAATTGTCAATTGAAAAATTTAATTGATGAAAGTAACTTCTAATTATTGTTATAAATTTCATTGAAATCCTTTAGAAATGCATTAGATTTTTAAGAAAAAATTTCAAAACACTTTTATACAAATCACTTAAAAAAAAGTTTTAAAAATCCTTAGAAATATCATGAAAAAAACACATAAAAATCTTCTAAATTAATTTATAGATTTAACACTGATGTTACCAAAAGTAAAAGAAATTATAACTGTCAAGTAATTAACTTAATGTTCAATTGAAAAATTTCATCGATGAAAATGTAAGTATTTATATGTAAATATACGCATTGATATTAAATATGAAATAATTGTAACGTCGGATGAAGATATTTAGAAATGATCGGGGAGCGGAGAAAGGCTCATCGCGTCCACAAATAATAAATCTTGCTCTATTATTTTAATGACTTAAGTAGCGATTCCATTTTACGATTGCATATTTTATAAGCGTAATATATATCCATCCATGATGTAGATGTCTATTTTTGCATATGATTTTGCCGTTGCCTTTTGAATCGAGATCCTCGAGAAAGAAGACGAAATAGAAGAAAAAAAGAAAGAACACAAAATATATATGAATATAACGAAACACGCGAATCGCTGTTATTCGATATAATAAATGAGGCGAAAAATAATTTAATTAATCACGCAGAGTCTCCTCATTTTTCAAATGCGTTTCGCCACACGATCAAGTCGAAGATTAATTTCGGTTTCTGGGTTAATATCAAGATCCATCGATAGTTTAGATGCAAAAACGATATTATTTATTTTTTTTTTGTAAATTTATTTATATGCATGTTTTTTTGCTTGTCTTTTTCTTGTATTGGATTTTGGTTGATTATAATAACGGTTACATCATGTTTAACATATTGAAACAAATCGAACGAGTTCTCGTAAAGTTCAATCCACAAAAAAGAAAAAAAAATATGGTTGTTGGATGAAATCTGGAGGAGTGTGAGAGAGGAGTAAAAAGATCTTTATCTGGTGAAGCTTCAGCTCTTCTTTTAGCTATCGGGAGTCGTTGATCCCCGTCGGTTGAGGAGGCGAGCAAATGGATATATCTTCGGTTTCCGATCTGGTTTTCCTCTTTGGGTTGACTGACTGACTGACGATCCATGCAAATGGGCGAAGCTCGAAAGGATAATTTCCGATTTCGGAATGGATCTTTGCTCTTTTTCTCTCTGTTTGTTTGTTTGTTTGTTTGTTGGTGTGTTGGCGGTGTCGGTGGAAAGATGCGATTTCACCTGGTCGAGCCGCTGCCAGTGCGACCAGCCCAGTTAGATAAGCCATATTTGACGAAAATCGAAAGTCATTTAAACTGGAGCAGATCTAAACGCCCTCCGGGCACCAAATCTTGATCCGATCCGCGCTCACCCATCACACCTCCACCGAACTCTCCAATCCCATTTAATTACAATCATTCCACGCGGCAGCAAACGAACAACTCGATGATCTTCCCATTCAAATTAAAAAAAAAACAGACGGACAAGATTTTCGCGATCTTTAATTAAGCCGTTTCAATCGGAATCGCTTCATTTTCCTGTCCCAACATTTCTCTTTCTCACTTTTCCCCATTTAGCTTAACCGGTGATTCCTTCTTTTTTTTTTTCCTTTCAATCCTTTTTCTTTCAATCTCTTTGGAGAATTGCACGCGCTTTTGCAACGGTTATATAATGCCCGTCGCGCGGATCGATGATTAATCAAACGCAGCTGTGTGCGAATTCCGAAATCGGGAGCGATCTTAATCAGCTGCGGTGGCGGGTGATGGTGGAGATTCCTGCAGATATCGTCGACATCTCTCTGGACGATTATTAATTAGAGATGCCCGTTCGGATTGGCGCGTAGGAAATCCACGGATTAAACTCGTAATTACTCGTAATTGCGGGTACCGCGATCATCTCTTCGTATAAGTATAACTACGTTTCATGGGATTATACGCCGTATTCTCTGAGATGCGAAAGAATTGGAATGATGGTGATCTTGAAAGCGGATGTACGTTAATCGAATTCACTTTCATGACATACGTTGGTTTGTTCCATCTACAAGTATCTTCCACAAGTCCAATTACATTAATTAATTAAACGTCTTTCTTGAAATCTTTGAAAAAATCAACGAAATTTCATTCGAAATAATGACGATTTTGTATGACAAAATAAAAAATTATTACATTTTTTAAATCGCTGTAATAACAACGCAATTTTATTTTAAATAATGAGAATTTGTATAAAAATGTATCAAATTGTAAGAAGAGACTCCACTAGTGGCTACGTATTTTTGTCGCTAGCGTATTCATGATGCGAATAAATCCGTCATAAGTGCTACTAGAGACCATGACGAATATATACGACATAACCACTTAAGTATTGGTAATTAGTTGTAAATTTAGAAATTATAGTAAATTTTAAAGTTGCTTTGGATTTCAATAAAACGTGAACTTAACAATATTTCATTTAGAGAAAAAAAACGCACTTTTATTTAATGATTGAAACAATGTAATAAACTCTCTTTTCATTAATTCAAACAATAAAGATGCGACAATTTCATGGATTTCACGAACTCGGATTAAGTACTGTATAATTGAGTAGAGAACACCGATTTCAGCAATAATATTCAAGTGAATAATGTATACGGAAAATGGGAGTAAATTTCATACAATTAATTTTCAACGTATTTCAGAAACTATAAATATGCATACACATATCCACAAAACCGTTACAAACCAAACACCAGGTAAAATGAAATCGTCTTTGTATATATTTACAATTTTCTTGCAGATTTCTGCTTTCAATTGCGGAAATTTGGAAATCGCAATGAATCTAGTAAAACACCAAAAGCAACCGACGAAAGTCAACGCATTTTTTTGCACATCAAAAGGTAAAGTCAAAACAAATTAAAATGTTGATTATACAGATAATTTTGTTTGAATTTTTTTAAAAACAATATCATTTTTTTTAAATAATCTGGAATTTTCTATAATTAATATAATAATTGTTTCATATCAGCGAATATTGTAAAGGTTTCAAAGAAATTTTCAACTATAGAAGTAAGATCGATAATCTACAGTAAATTTGAGAATGAAATTAATCTGTTCAAACCGTTGGAACATCAATTATTCTTGTTGGATTATTCCTGTCCTTATTCAAAAGATTTATTGGAAATGGTATGTACTTTAATCACTTTTTCATTTACACTAGAACATTTATTTTCTTAGGTCAACGAGAACAAATTGTTCAATTATCCTTTACGCTGGATAATACTAAACACGCTCCAATTGGATGAAAAATACAAGATTTTCATCAACAGCAGAGTTTATTTGGTGGATGGTAAAGTTGTCTCTCTTTATAAAATAACCGAAGAGAAACCTTACATCTACAACCAAATATATAATGGGAACAAGGATAATTTCCACACTCTATCTGATGTGAAGGATCGAGCGGATTTGCAAAAGACTAGAATGAATATAAGCATTGCATACATCTATGATGAGACTTTCAATAACTTCGAATCCCTCAAGTAAAACTTACTACTAATAATAAATTAAAAAAAATAATGTTTACATTTCGTTATGAATTTTCTTTTGATAGACCAACTTTGTATGATGCTTTCTGTAAACACAATTACATATTGATGCTGTCGATAGTCGCAATGCTGAACGTAACTCCTAACTATCATTACTTCCGGTCTTGGGGAGTTCCGGATAAGAAAACGGGGATGTACGATGGGGTGGTTGGTGATCTGCAGAGGGAACAATCGGAACTAGGAGGTTCGATTCATTTGTTTCATTGATTGTTTACTAATTGCTTGGTTACAGCTACCGTATGCTTCTTCTTGAAGGATAGATTTAAAATTTTGGAGTACATAGCGCCCAGTACTCCTACAAACGAGAAGTTCATCTTTCGTGGTCCACCTTTATCCGCAGTTTCCAACATTTACGCGTTACCATTCAACTTTGCAGTATGGATTGCTTGCGTTTTACTCTTCTTGATGACTATGTTCGTCGTTTACGTGATCATCAAGTGGGAATGGTTTACGAGCAAGGATGAGTTGATTATGAATCCGTTCGCTTTGAAACCGACTTTAGTAGATGTGATTCAGATGGAGATTGGGGCTATGTGTCAGCAAGGATCTGAAACTGAACCTATGAGTAGATCAGGAAGGATAGCGACGTTCTTCATATTCCTATCCTTCATGTTTCTGTATACAGCGTATTCAGCGAATATAGTTGTCCTGTTACAAGCAACTTCTAACAGTATCACGACTCTGGAAGATCTGGTTACTTCGAGGATATCTTTAGGTGTTGATGATACCGTTTACAACAAATTCTTCTTCGAGGTAAGTATTCAATTTCGATTTTGAAACGGATTCAGTTTTTTCATGATTTTCAGATCGAAAACGGCGAAACGCAATTAGCCATAAGACGGTTGAAAGTGATGCCTCCGAATAATCCGAAAAACTACATTCCGCTGAGAGTTGGGGTGGAGAAGATCAGAACCGAATTCTTCGGGTTTCATGCGGAATGCGATCCAGTTTACAAAATCGTGAGCGCCACGTTTTCCGAGAGCGAGAAATGCGGATTGCAGGAAATCAAGTATTGGAGTTTCTCGGATCCGTGGGTCCCCGTCAGGAAGAACACGACTTACAAAGAGCTCATCAAAATCGGGTATTTTAATTAGTCAAAGCAATAAATTTTATTTCTTTAAAATTATTTACATTTACAGTTATAGACATTTGATGGAGAGAGGTATACAGAATAGGGTTTTCTCTAGGATCTATGCAAAGAAACCGATCTGTCAGAATTCCGGCGCCAACTTCGTCAGCGTCAGCATCAGAGATTGCTACTTCGCTTTGCTGATCTACGTGTGCGGATTGACAATCGCTGTTCTAATGTTCTTATTGGAATTATTCAGCAAGAAGTTGAAGCAAAAGTTCAGAACTGTAAAATACTAGAGTTCAAATGAATGTAGCACGAAAACACAAAAACTTATATAAATTTAATCACTGTTATTTATTACACTCTTAACACCTTAAGTGGTTTGATGCATTGCATGATCATGATGCGAATATATTCGTCATAAGCGCTACGCAATACAATAGACCATGACGAATATATACGTCATAATCACTTAACATCAATTTTATATATTTAAAATTATTAGACTTTGCACTCATGTTAAACATGGTTCAACTTAACAAAAACAAACTTAAATGTTTTTAATCTAACCTAATAAAAAAATAATTTCAGACATCCTAGTTATTGCGAATTATATTAACCTTTTGTTAAATATCATAAAACTGTCGAAAGTCTAATTATAATCATGAAGGCGGATCAATCTTATTTGTTTACATAAAAAAATAATAAAAACAAAAATATTTGCATTGTGTGCATTTTAAAAATGTGCATTTAATTGTTTTGTTTTTACTAATTGAAATGCAGGCAAAAGCGTTTTACCGGCTATCAACTTTTTGATCGATCGATCCGCTCCGTTCGGCAGACATTAAAATGACATTTCATTTATTATAATCTGCGAGCATGCAGAATACGGTATTTCTAATTGCGTAAGAATCGCGTTTAAAATTTGATACATATTCACTTCTGTCTATCGGTTAGTTTTTTTTTCTTCTTCTGTTTATTCTCCAATCTGCTTCCTACGTATAAATATACTAGATGCTCTTTTGTGTATATTCCGAGACAACTATCACAAAATGTCAAGAGTTTAATAGAAATCAACAATTGGTGTTACAGATACAACTTCCATATTCACGTTCTAATTTAGTTTATTGGAACAGGCGAAAACCAGAAGCTTTCGACCGCTTTAATTAATTAAAATGCGACTACTAATATAATTATTTCCTTTTTTGTGTTAATTTTAAACTACTTTAATTTTGGTATTACTATAAATATTACATAGCTTATAGTATTAATTCGTAATTTGTCAATTTAAAAAAAAACTAAAATATACTTATATAATATTTGTAATATACTAAGATTTCAAGATTGAAAAAAAAGCTCCAAAAAAGCAATGTCTTTACATTTTATCATTTTTGTCGATAACCAAATATACTAATTACAGGTATGAATACTTTGGTCATGGATGCTTTTGCAAGTACCTGCACTTTATCGCAAAGAAGGAAGACGAAAGGTACTGGTACTGTGAGGAGAACAATAGCCCTGAGCACACGCTTTTTAGGCTTAGAAAGAAGCACGAGGCGAAGGCAGAATTGGGAAAATATTGTCAGTGAAATGCTGAAGAGTGCAGAGAGCTTTGATATTGTAGCGGCGTACATATCAGAGGTGCTACTAAGTAAAGAAGACGAGCGAAGGCTGCAGAGGGCCTACGATGATAGTGGCAGTTGAGGCCAGCATTAATATGATCTAAAGGAAGTGCCAAACAGGCAAAGACAATCAGCATCGCAGAGTAGTACAGTGATACAGGTCCTGTATGCTGACGAAGAAGGGTAGAAGTTTTAGTGCGGTAAGAATCCCACAGTACCACGACTCCACCCGTGATCCCTATGTAAGATTTTCTCTTCTCTACAAAAACAAAAAAGAAAAAAAAAAGGTATAAATACTTCAATTAAAGAAAAATGTATGAGTTTTCATTTGCTTATGATGGTAGATTTATAGTTATTACAATTTTCGTGAGATACGTTGTCAAAATTCTATTCTATCTAAAAAAAGCAGTATTATTATTAAACTTTCAAATTTGAAAAAGGTTTTTTTTTCCATTCTACAAAAATGCAGTGTCTTCATATTTTGTTTAATTACTCACTAAATACGAATGTCAATTGCAAGAATCAATACTTTAATTAATTACAAATATACAAGGAAAAATTTATGTTAAACACCAAATTTGTATCTTTTGTCGTATACTTTTTATAAACTGTATTTTTAAAACAATATTTTTTTCCTTCTACAAAAAATTAAATTTCTTCATATTTTCTTGTATTACTCAATAACCACGGTTGCCAATTGTAAGTATCAATACTCTAATTAAAGACTAATGTACAAAGATTTATATCTTTAACTCTAAATTTGTATCTTTTGTTGTTATTTTTGAATAAATTGTCAAATTTGAAAGAAATTTAGTTAATGTTCCTAAAAACAAAAATCAGTGACTTCATATTTTCTTGTGTTACTTAACAAACACATAAGATAATTTTTTTTTTTTTCCTCCGGCCCTATTACTACCCCTTTCGGGTTTAACAGCCACCACAAATTTTTGTTGATTTTCGGAATTGAACCAACGACATTTCGTATCAGATGTTCGTGATACAGGCGACCATAGCCACACGGCTACGGCCGCCCTATAAGATAATTGTAAATATGAAAACTCATAATTAAAGCACATTTAAACAAGCTTTAATTTGTATGTAATGCCAAATTTATATCTTTTAAAGTTTTTGTGTTATAAACTGTTGAAAATACTCTCAGCTTTCATAAAGTGAAATTAAAAATTGATTTTTCAAAAAAAAACTATTTATAATCGAACTTTTTACTTTTTCTATTCAAAAAATGTAATTCAAAACTCCCACTTGATTTGCAACAGGAGAATTATTTAATGATAATTTTTTTTTGAAGAAACTCTGGTTTTATTTGTTGAAAAACTAGGTACAACTTATGACCATGTAACGTTGATTCATTTGTTAATTAAATTATGTCCACTCTTTAAGAAACTACGTTACAACTTTGAAAATCCAACTATATTCAATTTTCTAATTAAGTATACTTAAATTTGTTAATGTTGCAATTGTGCAACAATTATTATCTAAAGGCTAAACTTCATGATTATTTAACTAAATCTATATACTTAATTATTCGTACAAATGATATTTTATATAATTTATTAATAAATTTGAAAAAAATCGAACTAAATCTATATAATTCATTTATTCGTTAAACATTATTCGTTTTAGATAAATTACTAATAAAGTCTACAAAAAAAAATAAAATATGGTACAAGCTTTCATAAAATAATTTATAATGGAAACATTTAGTTTTTAAATGCAAAAAGTGTAATTCAAAAGTCACAGTCGTTTTGCAATAGAAGAAATTATTTTGATTGAATGATATTTTTTGAAGAAACTCTCATTTTATTTGTTGATAAACTCAGTACAACTTATGACCATGTAACTTTGATTCATTTGTTAATTAGCCAGACTTTTGTTGCCAACTTTGAAAATCCAACTAAATGAGTTAACGTAATTAAGGTGTATTAGCTTTATTCAATTTTCTTAAATTTGTTAATGTTGCAATTCTGCAACTAAACTTCATGATTGTTCAACTAAATCTATATACTTTATTATAAATAAATAAATTTACTAATAAAGTCCACAAAAAATAATAGCTTGTAAAAGCTTTCATAAAGTGAAATGAAAAATATTTTTTCTAAAAAAGTAATGTATAATGGAAACATTTAGTTATTCAATGCAAAAAGGTGTAATACAAATGTAAATTTTGCACGATTAAGCAGCATTCATTGTACAATTCTTTTTTTTTTTCATAAAGAATAAGTATGGGTTAATGTTAGTATCTTGAAAGATCTTGGACCAATGGATGGGCGAGTAAGCCTTAACGATTTTGACATTTCTCAAAAACATCAAGAAACGGCTAATTGCGGTATTAAATGGATTCGCTCTGAGCGACGTTTCCTTTGCACAATTAAGTATTGGTAATAACAACTAACTAAGTGCGGTCATTCTTCGATAGAAGCCTTCATCCTCCTCCTTCTCCTTCTGCATCTCCTCCATTGTCGGCATCTAAGGATTAGAAAATAATACAGGCTGCGAAATGCTCCCATATTACATTACATGCCTACATCTTTCCAACATTTTTCTTCTCTCTTTCGGGTGAAGGATGTTAAGGCTACCATTATCATTGTTGAGCGCGTTTTGCGCGGCGCACCTTCCTTCGATTATGATTGCTACGCGCGCCGCGCTCCGTCTATATATTTTATAAATATATATTTATAAGTGATATTTCGTGCTCATCCTTCAGCTACTATAGTTGGGCGTTCACTGTTGACCTCGATCGCATATAAATATATTTGTAATCGGATTACAGGCAGTCCCCGATCCAAGGTTCAGCTTCTCGCGCTTTTATAACACCACAAACGCAAACACACACACAAACTAAACCGACTACTCAATCTACTCGCATTTTCCATTCAATCTTATTATTACACTATTTCCATTTAACTGCAGACGATGATGATGAGGATTTTGCATGAGGATTGAAGATCGAAGAAAATATGATCGATTCAGAGCAATTCACGGATACGCTAAGTGGGACAAGGAAACAACTCTTCACTGAATTCTATTTAATTCATCATCATCGTTCTTTCTTCTAACGCTTCTTTCAAACGATACGCTACACCCATAAATACCATTTGCGTGGTCACCTATATATTAAAACTAATTTACTTTTCGTCGCTTCGCATACGTAAAACTGCTCGCATTAGAAGAGCACTTTCTACACTCCGTATAACTATATATATTTTTTTTCTTTTCTTCTTCTCTCATTTCATTTATTTTTTGATACATCTGAAAGAAAGAGACGGAGGAAGAAAAGAGAAAAAACTAGAAATTAAACAGAAGCAAGTTATGTTAATTTTATGCATGCTATGACTAATATACAGTAAATAAGATATATCTTGAGCGCAAGATTTATATAATTTATATTTTAACACTTCGCTCTCCAATTAAGTTGAAAGCTTTATGCGTACCCTCCGCAACTTCATTACAATACTTAAAGTCACACTCGTTTTGCAACAGAAGACAACGTAAGATTTTTTTATGTATGTTTTTTTTTTAAAGAAACTCTGGTTTTATTTGTTGAAAAACCCAGTACAACTTATGACCATGTAGCGTTGATTCATTTGTTAATTAGATCATGGCCAGTCTTTTGTTGCCAACTTTGAAAATTCTACTAAATGAGTAAACGTAATTAA